TCTTTTTTTTTTAATTTAATTTTTAAAATTTTTTTTATTTTATTTTTTTATTATTTTTATGTGTGTGTGTACCATCAAATTGGATCTGACTGGTACAGGAGGAGATTGTCCCTCCTTCTTCAGCAGAACATCTGGTGATTCAAACTGCACACCTCTGGGATTGCAGTGCAGCATCTTGCCACTAGGCAACCAGAGCTCCCTTTGGACTCATTCTATGAAGCAAGTATAACCTGGATACCAAAGCCAGGCAAAGACACAACCAAAACCCCCCTAAATTATAGACCAATATCTTTCATGAACATAGATGCAAAAATCCTTACCAAAACCCTAGCCACAGAATCCAATAGCCTGTCAATAATCCAGTGGGGTTCATAACAGACATGCAAATAGGGCTCAACATAATAAAAAGTTATGCATCAGAGAGCTGGACAATGACTGAGATACAGAAGAAGAATTGATGTCTTTGTGCTATGGTGCTGGAGAAGAGTATTGAACATACAATAGACCACCAGGAGAACAAATAGGTCTGTCTTGGAGAGCGTAAAACCAAATTGTTCCTTGGACAAGGATTTTGAAGCTCCATCTCACATACTTTAGGCATGTGGCCAGGAGGACCAGTCCTCAGAGAAGGACATCATTCTCAAAAGGGTGGAGGGACATAACAGGAGAGGGGGAAAAAACCCTGTATCGTATTTATAGTCCTAGCTAGAGCAATAAAGTAAGAAAAGGAAATAGGAGGCATCCCAATCAGTAAAGAGGTTGGTAAAACCATGTCTCTCTATATAGATAATATGATTGTATACATAGAAACTCTCAAGAAAACTGCTGGACCTAGTAGACCAGCAGGATACAAGATCAATATACATAAATCAGTTAGGTTTCTCGGCAGTAGAAAAGACAACCCAGAAAAGGAAATAAGAAAAACAATACCGATTACAAGAGACAAATACAAGATAAAAAAACTTAGGGAAAAATCTAACAAGAGACACAAAAGACTTATATAACAAATAAAATTACAAAGCACCACTACAAGGAAAAAAATTAGACCTAGATAAATTGGAGGAAATATGTTCATAGATGTTGTTGTTAGGTGTCGTTGAGTCAAGTACGACTGTAATAACCCTGTGAACAAGAGCTCAGAACCCTGTCCTATCCTGTGACGTCCTCATAATCTCTGACACACTTGACCTCACTGATGTAGTAACTGTGTTAATCCACCTGGTTGAGGGTTTTCCTTTCCTTCACCATCTCCCCATCTTTCTAAGTGTGATATCCCTCACTAAGGATTGAGAGATTGAGGTACATTCACACACTAAAATACTGCACCGGACTAAGACATAACAATTTTATAAAATATTATATAATGTGGAAGAGTCTGAAAAGCATTATGTTGAGTGAAATAGCCCAGTCAAATAAGAATAAATACTGAATAAGCCTGCTATTGTGAAAATAGAAGGATAACTGTGTAATTAGTGTAAATTTTCAAAAGGGGAAGGGGAAAGGAAGAAGAGGGTACAGAAAAAAGGGAAAGGAAGAAAAGCAACAGGATAGCTGAGGTTAGTGGCAGTGGAAAGATTCAATGGGGACTTGAAAAGATGTGGTGATAATAGACGTGGATCAATACTAATTAATTATATAAAATACAATGTATCTAAATGATATACAAACACGAGGGCTAAAGGGTGGGAGTGGCTTGGAAAGCAAGAAAAGAATGGATAGGAAAGGAAAGTCAAGTTGAAATGAATGTATAATCACACATGATGTGTACTGCTATTGAGTGCAGAACAGCACATGTATTAGGGTTTCAAGTGGGAGCAGGAGGAGAAATCTGTATTAATGAGTGAGTAAAAACCAATTTCTTTGTAACTTTCATTATAAATAATAATAACAATACCACATCTAATGAATTAAAGCAGAGAGAACACCCGGGACCAAGAATAGATAGGAGATTGTTGTGCTGTTTGTTCTATGCTCATGTGTCCAGAAGCTACAAGTGTGACCCCAGTCTTGTGATTCCTCTAGTCTCAAGCTCCTCCAAGATCAAATCCACTCATAGGTGGTTGGTGTTTAAATATCCTGTTGTTGTCATTATGTGCTGTCTCATAGCGACCCTATGTAGAACAGCTCTGAACCCCGCTCTATACTGAGCCTACCTTATTGTTTTTGACACATCTACCTCCATTACCCCAGGCATTAAGTCAATCCATCTCATCGAGGGTCTTCCTCTCTTGTGCTGTCCATCCACCCTCCCAAGCATGATGTCCCTCTCCAAGAACTGGTCTCTCCTTGCAATATGACCAAAGTATGTCAGATGAGGCTTCAGAATCCTGGTGTCCAAGGAGAAGCCTGGTTTCACTCTCTCTAGGATGAATCTGTTTGTTCTCCTAGCAGTTCATGGTATATGCAATACTCTTCTCCAGCATCACAGCCCTAAGGCATCAATCCTCCTTCCATTATCCCTAGCCATTGTTCAGCTTTCTAATGCATGGCAAGTAACAGTGAAGACCTTGGCCTTAATCAGGCACACCTTAGTGTCCAGACTGACATTGTTGCTATTCAGTACTCCGGAAAGGTTTCTGACAGCAGACTTTCCCAACGCAATTTGTCTTTTGATTTAACAGCTATCCTCATCCTAGTGATGGTATTTTCAGTTGCTTTGTGTGCAGCTGAAAGTTGGACAATGAACAAGGATAACCAAAGGGAGGGGGAATAGATGAAGTTTATCTGGACCCTTCTAATAGCAAAGGCAAAAACCTCAAATTTCATTCAAGTAGAAGAAATAAGCTTAAATAAGATTAAATTTAATTATTGGCATTAAGAGTCACTTTAGGGATATTCTTCAGCACTTATCAATCATTATCCAAATATTTGAATAAATAATGTCTTATATGTTGTTGTTGTTGTTATGTGCCGTCGAGTCCTTTGCGACTCATAGTGACCCTATGCACAACAGCCCTAAACCCTGCTCTATCCTGCGCCAACCGCACTGCCTCTGACACACCCATCCCGATTACCCCAGTCACCGAGTCAATCCATCTCATAGAGGGTCAATCCATCTCATAGAGGGTCTTCCCCTCCTGCGCTGTCCCTCCACCCTCCCAAGCATGATGTCCAATGTCTTATATATAATAACTTAAATAAAGGTTACCTGAGCTGAGATGCCAACGAGGAGCAGCCACTTCTGGTCCTTGTCTGTCCGATAGTGGATCAACTGGCACCCTGCCAGACTGGCATGCCGGTCAAACATTTTCACAGGTTGGGAGTCACCAGCCATGTTCCAGTGGTAGACTGCGGTCTCAGTCACCAGAGCAACAGTGTCTGAAGAGACCCATTTCCAGAAAGTCACTTCTTCCACCATAGTATGAGCCTTCATTTTACTCTTCATCTCAATATTAAAAATCTGAAGCATCTTCCCAGCTAGTATTTGATGTGATGGAAGTCAGAGAAGGAGAAATTAAAAATACAAAAGACAAATCCTTTCATTCTTAGCCTTTTTTAAGAAAAGATTGCACCACAATTCTTTAATGTTATTGTCAATAGTTCAGATTTTGTGAAGTCATATAACAGATGCCTGACTCATAGTAATAAGAATTTAAATAACATTTTAACTATTTTAAAGTCTTTGAAGCCTGAAGTAATTTCCCCTACTTATTTTCAATGTTTGCCTGGGAGAATAAGTATCTTCTTGAATGACAGAGAATGTAGTATTCAGCTAAAAGTCAATCATGATTTAAGAAATGATCCCATTTAATTCTTATCTTTTAAAATATTACTTTAACAATTTGACTCAGCAATTTCACTACTGGGAACATACCCTAAAGACACCATAACTGCCACCAAGCAGATATATGCACACCCATGTTTATTGCTGCTTTGTTCACAATAGCAAAGAGTTAGAAACAACCCACGTGTCCATCAACAAACAAAAGGTATATTCATACAATGGAAGACTACGCTGCATTGAAAAACAAGGAACTCATGAAATATTATACAAAATGGGTGACCCTGGAGGACATTATGCTGAGTGAAATATCTCAGTCACCAAAGGACAAATACTGCATAGTGCCACTGTTATAAAACGGACTGATATTGGGGTCTGGGGAAACTAAAAAAAAGAGGAGATAAATAATATACACTGCATTGAAACAGATGAGGGAGAGAAATGTTTAAAAGGGATATATGATTAGGCATTATTTTGATGAAAAGATTCCAGAAAAATAAATGCATAGTAAAGTAGACTGGATTTGGGGGAAGGAGGACTGTATAACAATGAAAGAATATTTTTTCTTTTCAAAGAGAAAAGCAAACTTG